CCTCCCAACCCATCCAGCACGCCGCCAGGGTCGGCGGACCCAAACCCGAAAAGGAGACAGCGGGTGCGACAAACCTAAAACCCCTAAACGTCGGAAGTAGATGAGAAGTAGCAGCCTGAACATCGGGCAGTCAACTCAAAGGGCAAAAGGAGGGCTCCAAGCCCTGCCCTCCATCCCCATCCCCTTTTCGGGTTTGAGTCATCGTACATGCGCGACTCGTCGCGCAGCGATGCTTTTCGACTGCATCGGGAAACCGGTCTTTCGAGTACCTTTGTCCACCATGGACCATGTCGGACAACTCAAAACTAGACGTCCAGACGGGTTTGCAGCACATGGTGAGGCTATTGGAAGAGGCGGCGTTTAGCCGACCAGAGCCAGAATCCACGTGCGGAGATTAGCTTGTCCGGATGTCATGCAGGGGCCTCGTACTCGCAGCAAAGTACCAGGAATATCGGTCCTTGAATGTGTCTGTGATGTCAAGGTGGCGGCAGCATATGGCTGTCGGTTTATCATCAAGGTGCTGCCGCAGCATAGATCGCGGTCAGAGCAGATGTCTTGCAAACTGCATCGTGTGGCCTTCTGAGGCGCCACTAGCTGCTTACGACGAGGACACTGCTGCGAGCATTTGAAGAGGACCAACGAGTAGAGCACGTGACAGGAGCTTGAAGCAGACACTTTGGAACAGAGAGACATCTGGATTTGCAGCTGCGAGCTCAAACGCTTCTCAGAAGTTTCAGATTTCTGCTTGGGGCACAGAAGGTTTAAATGCAGCGGCTCTACAACAGCGATTGCTTGCAACCAGCAGTGCTCAGGCCTGTGAAAACATGTAAAGCTTTAAGAACATGGCTATGAAGAACACGCGGGGCCAGGTCAGTGCCGAGCGTTTTCTGCAAGCCAAAGGAGTGTGGCAGATGCTGCAAGACTGTGTCAGTGTGCGGCTCTCAGTTCTGGTGTCAGCTTCAACAGATGACGTGTCACCGAATCTCCCGAGGCCTCGGTGCCCAGAGATGATGCCGAGGCGAGGCTTAGCCGCCCTTTCCAGGATGAGCGAACCAAGCATTCTCCAGCAGGCCGTGTCCGTGGAATCCATGGCACTGAGATACACACGCGTGAGGCTTAGGCTGCTTAGGGCCTCAGGGGCGCTAGCAGCCGGTGGCACTCCGTGGCTGAAGTTCGACCTGAGGCTTCGGTGGTGCCCTGCTTCACTTTGCTGGAGAAGCTCAGGAGCCACGACAGGCAAGGCCTTCCCAAAGCATGAGAAAGAAGAGACGCTCGAGTCGAGTGTGCTTGAGCTCAGTGCTTACATATTCGCTCTCCGACGAACCAAAGCGCCAAGACAGAGACTTGTCCGGCTCCAGGTCATGTGGCTCTTGCTGTGTTTCCAAAGCTCCAGAAATCTCCAAAAGTGATGGTGAGCCATGATCGCCCAACAAACGACATGCAGAGGGTCATCAGTTGTAGGACAGCTCCGAGGGTTGGGACACGAGTGTTCCTACGCTCCTTTGACTTGACCCCTCAGCGGCTTGCAGTGTACTGTGACCGGACATGCTTGCCGTCAGTTTTCGCATACCTGCCCTTCTGAAGCGCAGGGCGCAACACTGTCCGGAATCTTCATTTCATGCCAGAGTCATGCCATTGAAGTCGCACCGTGAATTTTTCACTCTGACTGGACGGTCGTTGAGGCTCCTGTTAGTGGGTCGTCATCTTTCTCATGTTCCCCCTGTCGCCTATGATGTTTGCATGAAAGTTGAATACATGGTGAGCACAAAACTGAGCGAGTATGCCTCATCTACAGTCTACAGCCTAACGGACAGGTCGTGCCAACACTGACAGGGGCTCTCGACAATCGGTTCATCTCAGCGTTCAAGAAACCAGCTGCCACATTCAGTTCTGTGAGAGGGTGAGCTCCAACAAATCTTCGGTCATCGGCTGTCACTAGCAAGTTGTACAGACGTTCATCGCATCATTTACAGCACAGAGTTCACAGCGGTAGTGATGCTTGACACGTGGTCTGTCTGAGCATGCCGTCATGCTGTTGTACTGTAGCTCTGCAGAACCAGGAGATGCAGTAATCTTCGTGAGCTAAGTAAACCCGTTCGGATGGCTGGCTAGTTCAAAAATTTGGTGGTGGCATGGCACTTATTCTGTGCTGGCTCCCCTGATATAGTCCATGATCTGTGCTCACTTGAGCCTCATCACGAAGACTGTGGCTCCAGATGGCATCATGTTAGTTGCCCGAGAAGATCCGCAAAACTCAAACGCGACAGCAAGCGCAAAGGCAAGGAAGCTTGCCAGTGAAGGCATAGCCCACAGTCACACCACAGCCACAGGAGCTTCACCCTCAATTCCGCAGGAAGAGGAGATCTTGTGCAAAACATCCAAGCAACCATCCTCAGTTTTGCACCGTCTGCCGATCAGACTTTGCTCACTGCCAGGGTCGCCTGGTTGTAGCTGGCCGACGAGTGCGAAACAGCTTCTTGGGGAGTCGCTGCGTTCTCAGTTCGGCAATGGCTGGTACTGGATGCCCAACTGAAGCTAAATACGTTCAGGTCACCCAGAAGCAAACCTGATTTCCGACACCGTCAGCGGGGCACCAGCTTCAGAGTTTCTCTTTGTTATGTTCCCTCTCTTCTTTATCCTTCTCTTTCCCTCTCTGTCTCTTTCTCCACCTGTCTTTCTTTCTGTCTTTCTTTCTTAGCTATTTCTTTCGTTCTTTCTTTATTTCTTTCTCTGTCTTTTTTCTTTTTCTACATGAGCTCAGAAGGAACTTCATCAATCTAGCATGAGGCCGGAACGGAGTCTTGGCTCGTTCTGTTGAGTTCCAGGCGTGGGCTGCTTTGTCCAGTGGATGCTTCTTGACTACGGTGTCTTCGCATCACTTGATTGGATTAAGCTGTGAGTCGTCAAGCCGTGACCAGAAGCTGACGATCGGAGCCATAAATCAGGGCGATTTCGGAGACAGCTGGCGAGTCGCAGCAAGTCCTCGGGGCTGCAAACTCAGTTGAGGTTTTCAGATCAGCCCGGCGACATGCCTGGCTCGTTTGAGTAGAAGAGAAGTGGTACGAGATATGGGCGCGAATGAGGCCGTGGTGCTGGAACCTCCGAGGGACACACCCTTGCAATTTGAGGCACGGAATCCTGCACCACTCAGACAGAGCAAGCACACCACACGTTCACAGGTCATTGTCAAGTGCTGCGTATTTTGAACGATTTTGCTGCTTGATTCATTTTATTGAGGCTCTGTACGCCTTTCATGATCCGCTGGATTCGTCGGAGCCTGTAGCCAGCCTCCCATTGCTGTACTGCGAGGCCCAGTGGCCCATGCACTTAAAGCCGCAAAGCTCGTTTGCTTGGAAACTTGTTACAGGTAGGCGATATCGCGCAGTGCAAGCACGGAAGTGGTTGGTCTCTCTGCATCTATGAGGCCCATCTCAGGTCTGCGATGAGAGATAGAGAGCATCTAGTACTGGTTGAGGTAGACGAGGCATGCAACCTGCCAAGTGGGGCTTCTTGGCTGATCACGGTTGAGACTCGCAGATACCTCAGCAGAGCTATGCAGTACCGTCAAATGGAGCTCTTGACTCTGCACAGATGCGATCAGAAGGGTGATGCACATCAGGTGAGGAATGTGAGCTCTGGTGTCAAGCTGTAAAAGCTGCTCGATGGGCTGTGAGAAGCTTAGAAAAGGGGAGTCGTGCGTGGCAGTGCGTGGTGACGTTACTTGAAGCCTTGAAGCTTTGACACCAAGGCTCGGGCACAAGCGAAGGGCAAGAAGCGTGCCGCCGAAGAGGCTACGCATGGCAATGGACGTCATGCGTTGAATCATGCCGTATGGGAGCAAGCGGCGCGTCGGGAATCTGCGGCTCTGCGAGGCTCTTGACAGCTTTGACAGGAGCCCGGTTGAGTGGTGTCAGGCCAGCGGAGCTACTCATCTCTGCCCTCGCTGATTAGCTTTTTTGCCGTTTCTTTCATCCGAAGAGACTCAGAAGTCCAGGCTGCCGCCCGGCGGTTAAAGCAGGTGTCGGGATATGCACCGCGCGCCTCTGAGTAGGATGGGCGGGTTGGGCGGATTCCCTTCGCGGCTGCGCACATTCCGAGGCCCCCTCCAACGCTCTCGGCAGCAAGCAGGCTGCGGGCATGGGCATCTCCAAGGACCCTGGACGAGGGTGCTCTTAGGCTTGCGAGCTGCAAGAAGTGCGGAGGACGGCACGCTTGTCCTTGTCCTTGGGTGCACCAGGCAGAGCTGAAGAGGCTTGTGAAGAGTTTGAGAGAATTGCATGGCGAGGTGAAGGCTCCGCCGTGCAAGCCTGAAGCTGCGAAGGCGGTGCTCCATGTCCTTCGCAGATCGGACTTGTGCCAAAGGTGTCCCTGTCGTCGACCACGGTCGCCCCAAACTCAGTTTTGCTCCGATTGAAGTGCGCAGAGCGCAGACTGCTGACGGCATGCAGTCGCATTCTTTCATACTCGTTGATGGCGGTGGCACTTGACTCGTCGAGGCCGGGTCGTGGCTGTCCGGTGCTCCCAGTGCCGGTGCTGGAGGGGTGGATGCCGCAACGGAAGCCACCCGCCGGGTCCTGGCAGCCTGCGAGGCCCGAGGCAGTCCAAAATCGCTGGGGCCATTTTGATCCGTTGCGTGCACTGCACCCCGAGGACGTTTGCCTGGAAGCCGAAGGACCCTCAGAGCCACCGCGCGGCCTGTGAAACGCCAAGTGGTTGCGCAGGCTTACTGGAAGCTGCTTTGGCCAAGCGGCCTTTCCGCCAGGTAGCGGACGTTTGTGTACCTCTGCTTTCCGTGTCTTGCGGATGTTGCTTGTCACAGGATGCTGCAGGAGCCGACTTGAACTCAGAAGAGGGCAGCGCCTCGTACAGCCGGAGGGGGGGATGATGTGAATGAGGCTCTCCGGTGTGCTTTAGTTCCGGCTGTGGCGACAGTTGGCCGTTGCGGGGCGCCCGAAGTTCTTGTCTGGTGAACTGGGTTCCAAGGTTGCGAGATAGTGCGTGCAGTTTCCGGAGTCGAAAATTCAGACCTGGTTGCAGAATCCGGCCCATTTTGGTGCCTTTGGCCGAGCTGCGCGTTGGGGAGTCCCGGCCTGGACCCTCGTCACTGTCATGGCGGACCACTTCTGATGCTCCAGATGCTGGCTCCCAGTCGGGCGGTGACATGTTGGGAAGCTTCAAAGCCTGTTTGCCCGGATCCTTGCCACCACAGCTAAACCGATTTGCAGCCCGCCGTGTCTAATCCATGCCTTGCCCGCCCTCGCTTTCGTCCTCCGCCTTGTGGAGCTGAAGAATTACGTTCATTTGGTAAAGGGTGTTCTCCTTGTTTTGCTGGTGGTTGGCGCAGCCTCCGCTGATCCAGGCTGGACGCGCTGGAACACTGACTTGCCTTTGTCGGACGCCAGGAACCTCCTCCGATGGCTGGAGGCCCGAAAACAGCTCGAGCTCTGGGTCTTTCCTGAAGGGAGTCGGAGAGAGGCTTCTGAAAGAGAGAGAGAGAGAGAGAGAGTTGTTGGGGGTCAATGACAAAGTCGGGGAGCTGGGACTACAGAAGGGCAGGGGCCTGAGATCTGTAACGCAACTAGGGGTAGACTTGCTGCGCTTGTATATCTTGTATTGTCTCCTTACTCAGTGCTGGAGGCTCGTAAAGGGGGACCCCAGTTAGAGAAAAATCAAGTTGAGTGCAGCCTGGGGGGCGTCCGGCATCTAGAGGTAGGCTTGCTTGAAGCGTCATGTGTCGTGCCCGAGTGCTAAAGGTCCACTGTAAAAGGCCCACTCCACTTGCAGAATGCCTCGGGGGTCGAACTGGGGAATAGCATGCTCGCCTACTTCTCTCCGCCCCAAAACATGTCGACCCCCGAACAATACTAGCCACTAGTTTCACGAACTTCCGGGGGGCAGCACTCGGGGAACTCAAGCCGGGGTTATTTGACCTGTTGTATGATGAAGTAGTGGGGGAGCCTTCCAAGAGTGCAGTTCTCAACAGACCCCAAACAGAGGGGCACAGTGCCCAAAAACATTGGGGCTATACCACGGTGGTTGAAACGTGAGCCCCCAACGACATGCACAGGGGCGCGGGGATGAGGCCTGGGGGTTGCTAGTCTACAGGGTCGGGGGCTCACAACACAACCGCTCGGGGCAAACTTCGTCTTCTTCTGCCTCGGTCAGTGACGACCCCAAAGCCGGCCACTCAATAGTAAAAAGAGTGGTCGGGCGGGCCAAAGGCCTGAGGGTCCCGCTGCGGACCCCTACGCCCGGCAGAAGGAAAGAGAGAGAGAGAGAGAGTGTAGCCATTTTGGCTCAAGGTGCCTACATCTTCGACTCCATCATCCAGTTCGTCGAGCGTCTCAAGCGGGTCGGTGGGGGGGAAACACTCCGACTGTGCCCCGGAGTGTGGATCCTCCCAGGGCTTTTCAAAACCTGTGACTTACAGGTGAGCGCTCGCGTGCGAGGGAGTGGGGGGGAAGTCCCTGCTTCCTCTGGCCTGCTAGAGAGAAAGAGAGAGAGAGAGAGAGAGAGAGAGGGGCGGGCCGATGGCCTGAGGGTCCTCGACGGACCCCTACGCCCGGCAGAAAGAAAGAAAGAGAGAGGAGCGTTTGCCCCCTGCTTTGTAGGCGCGACGGCAAGCCGCCTGCAGCCTGGGCCTGGCACCTCCGGCACGGCACGGGCAGGGGCAGCAGCCGTCGCGCTTCGCATCTGCTTGCGTCGTTGACGCGGTCCTGCGTCGTGGCAGGTTTGCGGCCCGCTGCAGACGCCTTTGGCAGGCTTGTCTTCAGAATTAAGCTTGCGGATGGGCGATCGCCTCAGCTCCGAGGCGTGAGAAAGCGCCGCTACTTGTAGCTTTGAAGAGCTTCAGAAGTAAAGCTGGGCGAGTCCATTTAAGGAGCCCACGTTCGGCGTTTAGCCACACAGCTCCTCGTCTCCGAGCTGGGTGAGTCTCGCGCTCAGCCTTCTCATAGCTAGCAGAGTCGGGTATCAATCTCACTGTATCTTACTTCACAACATTTCTTGGTGTCTGGCGTGGTCGATGCCAGCGAATTTCACGGCGGCGCTGATGTAATTCAGGATTTACAACGAAAAGGGTCGGTAACGTCGTGCTTGGATCCTCCATCCCACGTATAATGGCTCGTGGCCCTCAACTTTGTGTTGAATACTGTGACCCCCGCATCTACGTTGACCTTGCAGATTGAGCGGAATTTCAGGGCTGGAACGACTCATCTTGTTGGACTACGTGATTGAGATTGAGCCTCGATACTCTGGTTTCCCCCCCTTCTGCCGGGTCGCCAGCAGACCAGCTGAGATTGGCCCAGGCGCCTACGGCACGGCCCCGGCAATGCACAGCCTCCGAAGATCTCACGCGCGCGGCGGCCTCAATTATGTTTTTTTCTTGCTTTCACGTTCTGCCTCCTGCGAGCAAGGCCCAGCTTGGACAAAAACTCGATGTTGCAGCCTCTGGGCCTCTGGGTTGCTGCTTTGAGGGCTGAAGGGCATCTTGGGTTGTCTGCAGGTCACAGTGCAACGTGAAGGCGATCACCAGTTGCCTGCCACGCTCCCAGTGAAACTGTACTGAACTGTACTTCTTTGAAGTTGCTTCGAGAGCACGCAAGGCCTGTGGATTTTTTCACCTTTGTGAACTCCTGCTTGCTGGTGATCGCCCAAGCCCAACAATTAACAAGGCCGAGAGAGCTTGAGCCTGAGTACCAGGACAAAGAGCCAGGCCATCCAGGATGGCGCCTGTGTTCCCTTCGTGGATGCCTTAAAAGCAACTAACTTGAAAGGCTTTCTCTGCGCAGAGAAATGTCGCCTAGAAGCCGAGGTGTGGCGAAGTTTGTCATAAAGGAGGTCCAGGCCCGGTGACACTGCCAAGCAGATCAGCTGTGACGGGTGCCGGGTAGTATTCCGCATTTGTGGGCCCTACCTGGCTTGGAATTGATGGAAGCGAAAGGCTTGTGCTGGCGATTCTCGCCCCAACCCGCATACTTTGCAAACTCACACGTGGACAAGACAGGAATCCCTTTCCTTTGGGTCTCTTCTTCGGGCCTTGCTCCGCCTCTTGGAGGATCTCGGTGTTCCTGTCCACACCGGACGGCTTCGTCAAAGAGCCTAGGTCTTAACAGGGTTCAGGCTTTGAAAGAAGGAACATCGACAAAGAATTTCCGTCTGCAATTGTGGCGTCGCGCTTCGAGCAACTGCTGCCCGAAGGAACTAAGATGGTAGGCAGTCTACCAGTCTACCATTGCAACATGGAGGCTTCACGATGGGGAAATGTGGGATCTGTGGTTTCCAAAGTGGAATATGGGCTCAAGACCAGTGCACGTCTTGCCACCTGTGTCCTCGCACCTCTGGATTGGGCAGAGGCCCATTTGACAGACTGTCGCAAAGCATGCCAAGTAGAGCAGCCACAGCTGCACACGAAACTAAATTGCTGGGTATCCCCTAGACCCTTAGAGCCTCTGGAGCCAGCCGAGAGACAGCAAGTCAAATCCCCATCCATCTTAATTATTCGGTGGTGGCTGTTGCCATTAGCCTACACTTTTCGCCGTCTTGGGCGGCATGCGGTGCTGCTGCGCTACATTGCATGGGGGCCTGAGCATCTGCGAGCATCTGCGTATTTGGATGAGATCCGTCTCAAGTGCCGTTGATGTCAAGATCTGGCCACCACACTGCTTCAAAAACAGCGTGCATTCACCCTCGGGTCTTTTATTTCTTGATCTCACTGATGATCGTGTGTGCGTTGGATGAGTTGAAATCTCGGGTACCCGGGTGAGCATCATTGAAGAAAGGCGTTTAAACAGGCACATCCGATGCTCTCAACCCGCTTGGGCTGTTCGGCAGTTCGGCAAGTTCCCTTTTTTGGTTTACACCACGGGCTGCGGTCTGGTGGCCAAGTTCTCCTGCAGAATTCTCAATTCGGAGGACTGGGGACCAAGAGGCCTTACAAAGACTGCAGTTCTTGGATTTCAACCGGTCGATCGGTACTCGCACCATAATTATCCATCAAAGCTTGGACTTTGAGAATTGGGTTTGAAGGTCACGCCCGGCATGAGTGTTTCGTCTACGAAAGTTGGACTGCATGGGCGAACCATGCAAGTGAGCTGGAATGCAGCAGTGAGAAAGCAGAAGTCGCAAACCAACAAGTTTTGCAAGCCCGCATCTGGCGAGCGACATTCGTATGCGGCGTGCGCGAGGGCGGGCTGCAAGACGGCAACAACGTCCCCATACTACCGAGCCTCGAAGCTGTTGGATCCGCGCTTCTGTCAGGAAAGTCTGCGAGGTTGGCTGTGGGCCACACTGCCTGAGGCACACCGGTCAGCGCAATTTATGGCTTCGTGTTTGGCTGTCCACGGTTGCTCGATAAGCATCAAGGTGAGGTCTCAGCATCGAGAAACCCTCCTTCGCCGATGGTTTTGGTCTCAGATCCGCTGGACAGGGTGAATGTGCATTGCGGATTTTCTGGATGTGCCTGAACAGGTTTTGGGGTGTATCGTCGCTTGCAAATGCAGCATCAAGCTCAGAAGTCGCAGTGCACCAGCTGCAGAGCTTGCCCCAGTTCGCTTAAGTTTGCATGCCACAACTCTCTTTCCCGCTGTGAAACTGCGGAGCTGGCAGATGCCGGTCTTCAAGCAGCACTGTGAGGACATTGCTGTCAGGCTCTTGATGTGCGATCCAAGATTCTTGGGCCAGATCGTTACTGCAGTGTCGCCTGGGCCAAGGCCCACTGTCGGATGCAAACACGCTACGATACCGAGGGGGATCTCCAGGACGAATAAAAAACCCTGAAGCCTCAGCGACACTCGTACTCGTATCATGGCAGGAGTCCCAGGAGGAGACCAGGCAGTGATATGCATCATGCCCGCATCGCCTGCCCGGCCCGGTGTCAAAGCGCTTCGCAGGTCGGAGTCGAGTCCGTCGAGTCCCGTTCCCCGCGAGCCTGGAGCTCAGGAGGCTCAGCCTGCGTGGCGTGGCTCTTGGCGCGAGCGCGCCTCGGTCTGAGGTGGCGCTTGGACCGTGAGGAGCAGGACTTCGAAGGTATCCTGGAGGCCAGGCCGTGGCCGATTTGTGAAAACTCTCGTCCTCCAGAGTCCAGGCCCTCCTGTGGGCAGCTTGCGACGTCGCTTCGACTCGATGGCGCGGGCCTGCGCCGAAGAAAGCCCCCATCGGCGAAAGCCTGAAACGCCAAGGCGGCGGCAGGTCCTGAGCCCGAACACGGAGCCTCAAGGCAGAGCTCGCACTGCTCATCGAATCACGGAATCGAGCGAGTCTTGCAATGACATCTAGGTAGCCGTGTGCAGGCTACTCACTGGTGCCCTCCCTGAACCAGTTGCTGAGCCCAAACCTTCAAGTTCTGCGAGAGTGGCTGGTCTGCCTGGCAAGTTGGGGGCTGTTCCCTCTTTGCCACCCGACGTTACCCTCCAACTTGCAGGACACGAGCCTCTTCGAACTACTCCTCTCGAAGATCTTCCTGGCCAATGCCTGAGCCGCCCGGGGTTCTTTGGACTTGTCGCTGTCGGGCTGACCCAAGATGACCCAAGGTGTGCATGGGGACTTACGTGGTGAAGCTCTCCTGCGGATCCTGGTTGCAGGATCGGAGCGAGTGCAAGCGTGAGCAGGTCCCAGAGCGCAGTTCCTGCCTCGCTGAGGCCATTCGCACCCGAGATGAGCAAATCCACGCATTGTCGGAGGACCGCCGCGGCCCGCGGCTTGTTGGGAACTTCTGATGGGAAGTTGGTGATACTGATACAAGCCGCAGCGCAGGAAGCAGTTGCGTTGTGCAGCTACTTCGCGGGCTTGTCGCACAAGCCTCGCGAACGGCCTACTACTATTCCAGCACTTGTAGTTTTCGCAAGTACAGTGCCTACGACAGAGGTGGTGCAACAGAAGATGTCGGATTATGGGAGCCAGGGCGAGCCGGCACCACAGATTCAAAAAGCGTTCCAACAGAGCCTCCTGGTTTCGCATGCTGTCCTAAGACTCTAAGGTTCTGAATGTTCTACATACAGTCCTACTGTCGCCGGCGGCCAATGCCAGGCAAGTAAAGCATCAAAGTCTAAAGCACTGACTTCTTTGCGCCTCCTCCGGTCCGGTGCGGTCCGGTCCTTCCTGGCAGGTCGCGCAGCCCAGCCCAGCCTCGGCAAGCGGCGCAGCGGAGACCGAGCCAGCCTCAGCCGCCGTCCAAAGTGCTCCCAATTTTCAGCAGTCCTACAGACTAAGGCCACTTCCGGCAGACTGGAAGAGCCCATTAGGTCGGACCAAAGAGGGATGACACAGTCTGAATACACAGTTCTCCATGATCAGGTTTCGAGGACGGACTCAGCAAACTGGTGTCGGCAGAGGGCTCGGCCACTCGAGAGACCCTGTTGGAACCTGGCGATGGAAATTGTCTGCGAATGTCGAACAAATATCAATCCACGATGAGGTGCTGTCAGACAGCCCGTTGCCTTTGGAGGACGTCTGGCTCTCGGCTGATCCATTGGACCGGCAAAGCTTAACTTGCTCATGCTCAAGGTGCTAACCTGGTTTTCCGACATCGGCCCGCCTGGGGCAAAACCTTTCGAGGATCTGGGCCATTTAGATCTTTCTCGATTCAAAGTTCTCGGTGTATGTGTGGAAAGCCGTGGGGTTGATGCAGCAAGTTGGTGAAGCTGAACTGCGATGCTCATCTTGCGGGACAGGCAGCTCGAAACATGGGCTTCAGGCAGAAACCCGGTTTCGCAAGTTTTCGCAAAGAGTTAAGGCCCGGACGATGCATGATCTAGGTCTTCAAGGTCCTTTTCGGAACTTCGGGAACCAGTTCCTCTGATGGAAAGTACAACGATGTCGGACTTTCGTGTCACCCGTTCCCCGGCCAGGAGCTCCCGCAGCCGGTTCCGGCAGGAGCGCTCTACCAAGCTGCTGAGGAAGTCAGGTGGGACACCGGGGTTTCTACAATCAGCTCATGGTCAGCCTACGAAATATCATGACGCCGCCCTACCTGCAGCTGTGTGCCATTGGTACAGACCACGAGAGTTATCGCAATCAATGGTGGGATCTTTTGCTTGTTGGGCCGACCTGGCACCTCCGAACTGTTAGGCGGTCCCCCGCCTGAAACACTTCGTGCCTCAAGCCTGCCAAGTTAGGCGGCTTTCACGACGAAGGGTAGTGAAACGGCTCACAGTAGGGCTGCCTGCACGACCACGATGCGCAGGTCTTCTTGCACACGTGCGCTGACTTCTAGTGACTAGTGACTAGTGCTTTTCTTGAGCGATTCAGCTTGTCGACGGGACACCGAAGGCCTTGTAGTACTTAGAGATCTCCTCTTGCTTCGTGAAGGCTTCGGAGTCGCTCCTCTTCAATGCTAAGCTATAGCGGATCTCGAGTTGGTGATGCACGCCGGATATCTGTGCAATGGGCTGAGTTTCCTGCAGTGCGTGAGCACCGATGCTGCGACGTAACCGTGTTCTTGTCGACGTGTTTGCAGGGAAAGCATTGACATGTGTGAAACTCGGCCTCGGCCTGATGGCTGGTGCACACCGGGTGCTCATTGCTTTTTGACACGTGCACTCTGCGTGCACTGAGGTCCACCGGTGGGCTCTCCCTCTTTGGGCAGGTGCAGTGGCTCAGCTTTCCTAAAGCTATGCTGCTCCTGCTCAACACGCAAGGCCGGCAGACGGGATTCATCGAACTACACCTCGCCGGGAACGTCCTTGTTTAACACTTGGAATAGATTCGGGCAGGGCAGGCATGTTAAAAGTGCGATGCGATGCCAAGGTTGATGACCAGCTCGGAGGCCTTCGCGCAGAACTTCGCAGTGCCTGCGCTTCTGCCTTGTGCCCTTTCTGCACCTTCAGGCAGCAGCTCAGGCTGTTGCACAGGCATGTGCCAGCAACAGCCAGGCGATTGGACTGGCATCCGAAGGCTAGTGAGCGAAACGGTTCGACAGCGTTTCAGTGCTTAAGCGCGGCTGGAAGGCGCCGTGTGCGACCTGCGGATAGAGCAGGCACGCTGCCTATGCTTTCTTGGTTCCAGGCCGCGTGCCTTCAATGCTGAAATGGTGCAGGATGGTGCCTATGGCGCCTTCTGTGAAGTATCTGTTAGCGTCGAGGCGAGGACTGCCCCCGCAACCCATGCCTTCTTCAAAGTTGGAATGCATGATTTTGCCACATACAAAGTGCTTCCTGAGAAGTCAGAACACATGCCAACTGATCCATCTCACCGAGTGTGCAGCATCAGCCTCATGAGCATAATCGACACTGTCAGCACCAGCACCGCCGGTGCCGTGAGCCCCATCAGCTTCATGAGCACAATCGGCAACAGCCGCAGCAGCAAACCAAAAGCTTGATCCTTCCGAGGCCCTCAAAGGCCTGAGGTCACGCTTGGCAGCACTCCCGCCTGTCACATCTGGAAACCTCATCTACTTCTGCGCGTGTCGGTCATCCTTGCCTGTTCCAACCTTTGGATACCTGTGGTTGACTTCCGATTTTCGGCTGTGAGTTGCGAACCTGCACCCGGGCCTGCAGAAGCTCTCTCGAAGACTTGCCAACACACTGTGTGAACAAATTGGCCTGCGAAGCGATCATGAGTTATGTGCCCATGAACAAACGGCCTGCGAAAGCCGGTCTGGTTGACTTCGAACATGAAGCGAAGGTCAAGGATGCCAGTGATATGCTACAGACCAGACTCGAGACCACAATCCGGAACTCGAAGCCAGATGCCAAGCTTAAATGAAGCGACGGTGCCGGAAGATAATGCTTCGCCGGCATAGTAGCGAGCCGTAGCTCGAATCCGATCTCGCGGTTCCGTCCGACCCTATCCGAGCCTTTAGGCCTGCAATTGCCTCATCCCAAGTGCCCTAAGTGTGCATCGAGCTGCAAGGGACCGTCAGATGGCCAGTCGGATACCAGGACTCGTGTAAGAACCTCCAGTTTGAGCGGTTTGAAGTGGATTCCTCGCGCAGGAGCCTCGAGCCGCGGGAAGAACCAGTACTGCGCTGGGTGCAGCTCATGAAGGCACTTGGACGTGACGTGCGTTGGGACATGTGCTGCAGAGTTCCATTCCAGGCGAGTCCGCAAGCGACTCCGCACTTCCAGCTGCTCGAGTGGCAGCCGCAAAGCATTCAGGACCCTACTCGTAAAGCCGCTAAAGCCACGATCCACGGGCGGAGTTACAGAGCAGTAGCACCCGCTAAAGTGGTCGGTGGTGGCCGACCATGGTTCAATGTTCGACAGCAACCCTTCCTGTGCTTGCTCTGTCTATGTCGCACAGTCATGAGTCACCCAACAGCCTTAACAGCCTAGCTACATGCTGCTCCTTTGTGGTTTATGCGAGTTGCCAGAACTGCAGAGCGCAGCAGCATAAACTGCGCAAACAGACGGCCTGCAGGGGTCGGGTTGGGGCCGGCTTGGCAAATACATGACCGTAGGAGCAGCACGGAGCAGGGTGCTGGGCAAGACGGACTGTCCGAGTCGATACGGTGCGGGTTTCCAGGCCATTGGTCACCTTCCGTTCGTAGCCGTGATACCCAGGGCCAACGTTTCCATCGTATGGACGTCGACGTGGACCCATTAACGGCAGAAGACCACAATCTGCAGCCTTGTGCGGGAGACTTGTGCTTGTGGAGCTTGGGCAAGGCAGCCAGCAAGCCCCAGCCAACGGCCCATCTTGCGGGCCATATGTCAACTTTCACGCGACAGGTGCTTGTAAAGATCCTGGGCGTTGCTCCAGCAACTTACAGTGTAGTGGTGCGAGAAGCCGTTGTTTCATCAGACGGGTTTGCCCCGCAGTGCAAGATGAAAAGCATGCAGACTGAGCTCTATGGTGTTTTCGGCTGCAAGCCACAAGCTGCACGGTGGCAGGAAGCAGTCGCTGCCGCCACCCCCAGCGCGGCCTTGTCACTGGCAAGGCTTAAAGAGGCCGGAAGCCGGCAGCCGTGGTGACAGTGGCAGCTTGAGCTCTGCAGGTACAACTTCCAGCTGCGAAGAGCATGAGCCTTCTCTTCTCGGAAGAAGGCCCAAACGGCCCAGGGGCCCGAAGTGCCCGAAGGGAGGAAGAAGGAGCGAGTCGAGTGCTGGCGAGTGACGCAAAGGCCCCGCCGGTCCACGGCACCTGAGGCGTCGCCGCGTCCCGTCTTTGAAGTGATGTCTGGGACGGCAGTTGAAGCTAAGATACTTTGTTGACTTCGACTGCCCTTCTCATGCCTTTCGCTTTCGATTGGCCCAACTCTCAGCCGATTTCGACTGCGCACGCACGAAGTACCTTTGCATGCTGTTCAGCTCCTATCATCCAAGGTCTTGGAGAGCTGGTGGGCGACAGAACCCATCCGAGTCAAAGACCAAGATGTTCTTGTTCAGATGCAGATTCCCATCGAAGCAGACGGTTGCTCGACCTGCCACTTTCAGGAGCCATATCCCGTCGTGGCATATATGGGATGTGGAGCAGGAGATTCAATCAGCTTAAAACCGACTTGCGGGGGACCATCACAGTGCAAGGACTTGGCCGGACTGACGATGATGAGGACGGCCGGCAGCTCAAGGCCGCGAGACATTCTTTACCGTGCTGCGCCAAACATGCTCTGAGGCTGGAGAAATCTCTCCCCGCCTCTGACACGGCAGGCATCACTCTAAGGGCACCGTTAGAGTAAGGACCGTCCCTCTTGGAGATTTGGGCTGTGCAGGTCCTGGAGCTCCGTTTGGGTGGCCTCTGGGCCGATGTCCGCAGACGCCTGGAAGTCAAAAGCTCAGCGGGCCGAAAGCTGCATATGCAGTCCAGGTTACAGCTTGTGCGAGTGTTCTTGGAGGGCCTTTTCACTTGTCGCCGTCTTGCAAGCTGGTAGACAGGCATCCTGACCGGGAGACTGAGTCCATGTTGTTTTGCAGGAGGCGGATGGATTTGCCTTGTCCCTTCTCCGACCCCTTTGTACAAAGCCGGCAAAGCTCTGAGAAGCTCCGGCCTCTGGGAGCGGACAAGGCGAACCTCGCCGCGACACTTGGTCGTGGCTTGTAGATAGGAGCGAAGCCGACTCTGGCTTTAAATAGGTCTGCAAGAGCGATCAAAAGCAAGAGCAGCCAGGATCACGGACACGGGAGGTTGCATCAAATCCGCGGGCATGGTCTCCATGTTGGCATCTGCCGTCTGGATCGAGTGCCAATGTCGTGTCATGGCAGAAGGCGGATTTTGACTCCTCAATTGTGTGAGCTCCGCAACTGGACTAGCGAAGATTTGCAACATTTGGTAGTGGCTCCGGGGCTCGAATTTGCCTTCGATGGCAGCCTTTGTTCAGACGTCTGCAAGCCAACCAGCACACGAGGCCTTTTATTGTCGAGCTTTACACGTTCTGCTATATTCTGCTTGCCCAAAAGCCACTCTGTGGCAGGTTAAACCGTGGACAGCTACAGCAACACCGTCCTTGCCTGAGATGCTCTCTCGGGTACTGCATGTTGCGGCTTGTGCCGGCCTAGCGCTGCAGGCCGAGCCTACCGTCACGTCAACATCGTGGCCACACAGGCAAGGATGGCATGGTCGGGCTGCTAGATGATTTTACATGGCACGAGCAGTTGTGGGTCGGCATGCCAGGCTCTGCAACTTGGGCTCCAGTTGGAGCTGCTGCTGCCCTGGTTTCTCGGCGCCGGACCCGGAGCAGCGCCCTCAGTGTCGGCTCTCTTCTCGCTTCCCTTCGCCTCCAAGTAGAAACACCCCGTCGCCGGCCGCCGAGATTCCACGATCTTCCCGAAGCAGCGGCGGCGACTAGCCGTGGCAGCTCGCCTATACAAGTCTGGCTTGTCCTTGCAGCAATATCTTGACTCTGAATGATTCTGAATGCTCGTTCGAATGATGTCATCTCGTGTTATTGGTTCAAACAACCACAGGTAAGCCCGAACCCTTCCAACCCGCCAGACTGCAACGTGGCGACAGATGCACACCCAGGTGGCGGCTGCTGGCGATGCTTCTGACGTGGTGCTGCAGGCTTCATGGTGGTTTAGCAAGAGATCCACAGACATTCAGATCTCCTGACTGAGCAGGATGAACTTCAAGAGATGCCGTCCCTACCAAAGGGAACACCAGTCAAGGCACAGTCAAGAGGTTTCTCTAGGACTCGAGGGCTTTGCTCATAGTCATAATTGCTTTCACTGCATGCCTTCTCAGTCTCGTGAAGCATTTTGCAGGGGCTGCTTGTGCAATGCAGCAATTAAGTATGTGGCTCAAGGAGCGCTGATACATGGATCATTTTACAAGTCGGCCAGCAAAACGTTGTACGTGAATAGAGACGTTTTCCAGCCCGCATTCAGGAAGCCTTCATCAACAGTCAACTCTAAGTTCAGGCAGTGCATGGCCAAGCAAGTGCATCCGTAGCCCCGACGGACCGCCTGGAAAGTTACTATATTCGGGGACAGTTCGGAGGAAGCTTGGTGCCTTGTCCTATCAGCTGTCATGTCTGACTTGTGAACCTCTGCAACGGGAAAGGGAACCAGAGGATAAAAAGCACAAACAGCTGTGAGTTGTTTCTTCACTTCCATGTGTTGCCCGGTAGGTTGTGCCAATATGTGTCTGGTTTCGATCTTGCCATGTCCGTTTTATTGACGTGGCGTCAAGGTAGAGCTTTGTTGGGTATTTTTGTGTGTCGTGTGCCAGTCCCCTTTCGGTGCCTTCTAATTTCTTGTGGAACTGATTGGTTTGGTACTGCCCAACCTTTCACTTTTTATGTGTTGCCATTTCCTGCTCTTCAAGTTTTTCTGTGCCGTATGTTGTTTTCGGATTTCTTGCCATGCTTTTTAGCTTTGCCCTTCCTTGGTTTCGGCACGGGCAGTGTAGGTTCCGAATCTACAAGCCTGTTAGGGCTTACGTCATCTTAGGTCTTCGGGCTTGTCTCTCCGATGGTCCAAGTCTGGTGGGGTTCCAAGTTTGCGGCTGCGTTTTGCCAATAATTCCTCCACTCCTTATCTACGATTCTTAGAGATGGCTCAGTTTCCTTCCATTTTGGTGTTTTGAGTTTTGCCAGCCGTCTTGTTCTTGTCGATTTGAGGTTTTGCTATTCTCCGGGCTGTTGGGGTTGGTTTAGAACTTACCACCCTTTACACTATGTAGAGTTGTAGGGGCAGCTGGGGAGTCGACTTTGTTGGGTTAAGGGTTCAGCACAACAACCAAACCGCGTTTTCGGCCGGCTTTCAAGTCCCATCCCTTTCAGGCTTGGGGTTTCGAAATTTCCGTGTTGGGCTGGCAGAGCTCTTCGTGACGGCCTTCAATGCGTAGCGAAATGCTCAAAAGCGGCTCAGAAAGCCAGGGTGATCGAACGCAAAACCGCTAAGCCACCAAGCTGCGAAAACTGACATGGACAAAGCGCAGTAAGCGTTAATACGATGTGATTGAACCCTTCGAGTGAAACCTGATTCAACGAAATAAAGTGCTGGAAAAATGAAACGATGGCATAAAGCATGGCCTAAAGTTTGTGGCTCACGCAAAAATTGCTTGTGGCATCAAAACTGCTGTCGAAGCGTTCCTGCAGAATCACAGTGTTGTTGAGACCAGTAACCATGACAGCGAAGATTCGAAGATCACCCTACTAGTATAGACCAGAACTGCGGACATAAATAAACAGAGAACCTCCGAAAAGCCTCAACGAATCTTGCACCCCACAAGAGACCTCAGAAGGAGTGGGATGTTATGGTTTCAGCAGGTTTACGTTTACATGTGGCTTGCAATACAACGATCATGCAGTCTTGGCCCGCACTCATGTTGACAGCATCTTGGCACGTTGCTGCGTTCCAGAATAGCTTTTGACCAGGTCCCATCTTGTCGCGGTATCAAGGTAATGGTGGTTGTACTGGTTTACCGCAGCGACATGAGCTAAGCTGTCAACGAGTTTCATTCTAGAAGAGCAAACTCGATCTGAACATCCTCCAAGCAAGACCACTGGTTCCGAGAAAGCTAGACAGCCTTCAAAGGACGGCTTTGGTTCAATCGGTCTATCTGTGCTCAGCAGTCCGACACGGAAGCTCCATGTTTCCGTCCATGATAGCTTGAGTCCAGCCTTCTCGAGTCACATGCCTCATGCTGAAGGTATGTCGCTCTTCGACTATGTGTGGAAGCCAAAGACGGTCGAAGACAGCATCGATGCTGGTGTTCATCCAGCGGTTGCCAAGCTTCGAATGCAAGAGGCCGGCAAGCAACGGACAGTAAACGAGTCCCTGCTGCAAGACCTGTAGCTGGCTGGGCATGGGTGCATGCCAGGTGCATGTTGCAATGCTGGCCAACATCTAAGGATGCCATAGTTGGGAAGAGATGGCACGGCCAGTCTCGAAATGCTCCTGAAGTCGACGTCAACAAGATGAGCACGATGGACCCCACCTTTGACCCTTCGTGGCTCGCATAGTGCAGACAGGCAGACACGCAGACAGATAGAGACAGAGAGACATAGAGACAGAGAGACAGAGAGACA